GGGACAACGACTGCACCTCGGCCTTTCAAGAATTGAAGGATAAGTTAACCACGGCACCCATACTCGCCATCCCCTCCGGGGAGGAAGGATTCGAGGTTTTCAGTGACGCATCCAAGAAAGGGTTGGGGTGCGTGCTAATGCAAAAGGGCCGAGTAATAGCCTACGCATCCAGACAGCTCAAAACCCACGAAGAAAACTACCCCACCCACGACCTCGAGCTAGCCGCCATCGTGTTCGCACTAAAAATTTGGAGGCATTACTTATATGGGGTGCAATGCAAGATTTACACGGACCATAAGAGCCTAAAATACATCTTCACCCAGAAAGACCTAAACATGAGGCAACGGAGGTGGTTAGAACTCATAAAGGACTATGACCTGGACATCCAGTACCATGAGGGAAAAGCTAACGTGGTGGGCGGATGCTCTAAGCAGGAAGGCTAACCACTCCCTCAACACCACTTGGATCCTACCGGACCAACTGTACAGGGACTTCCACAGACTGAATTTGGAAATAATAAAGCAAGATCAAACCCACCCCGACATCCACTTGTTCAACACATGAGTCATACCTACGCTCTTCGAGGAAATCAAAATAGGGCAACAGCAGGATCCGGAACTAGATAAAATCCGCCTCGACCTAACCCAGGGGAAGGAAGGACCCTTCAAAATACACGAAGACGGCAGTCTCCGTTACCAAGGTAGGTGGTGCGTGCCCTCAACGCACCCCCACTTGAAACAACAAATCTTGGAGGAAGGACACAACTCCCCATACTCAGTTCACCCAGGGGGTGACAAGCTATACCAAGATGTAAACAGGTTGTTTTGGTGGCCCAACATGAAAAAGGAAATCGCGGATTTCGTGGCCAAGTGTCTGAATTGCCAAAGGGTGAAGGCCGAACGGTGCAAACCCAAGGGACTCGTACAACCCCTTGAGGTACCACAAGGAAAGTGGGATTCCATATCCATGGATTTCGTCGGAGGACTACCCCCAACGAAGACCGGCAAAGATAAGATTTGGGTCATAGTGGACCGACTAACCAAAACGGCGCGCTTCATCGCCATGAAGGAAACGTGGACAATGACACAACTAGCCCAAGCCTACTTGAGCCAAGTAGTGAAGTATCACGGAGTTCCCCGAAACATCGTATCCGATAGAGACTCCAGGTTCCTCTCACAATTCTGGAAATCACTCAATTAGCCTTGGGGACACAACTAAAACTAAGCACTGCTTTCCACCCCACCACGGACGGCCAAACCGAAAGGACCATTCAGACTCTCGAAGACATGCTAAGAGCCTGCGTGTTAGACTTTCAAGGGACATGGGAGGAACACCTAGACCTGATTGAATTCTCATACAACAACAGCTACCACGCGAGCATTCGTATGGCACCCTACGAAGCTCTATACGGACAAAAATGCAGAACCCCCTTATGTTGGGAAGACATGGTCGACCCAATAACACTAGGGCCCCAACACCTACAAGATACAATCACTAAGGTCAAGTACATTCGGGAAAGGATGAAGGCTGCCCAGGACCGCCAGAAGTCCTATGCCGACCTAAAGAGGAAACAAGCCGAGTTCAACACCGGGGACAAGGTCTAGTTGAGAATCTCGCCCACACGGGGGGTGATGAGATTCAGAAGGAAAGGAAAGCTCAGCCCTCGATTTATCGGCCCCTATGGAATCATAGAAAAAGTTGGGAACCTAGCCTATCGCCTCGCCCTACCCGTTGAACTAGAGCGAGTACACAACGTATTCCACATATCCCAGCTAAAGAAATACATACACGACCCAAGCCACGTGCTTCAACCCAAGGTCGTAAACCTCGACGAGTCACTAGTATACGAAGAAAAACCCGTGAGGATCCTGGACACCAAGACAAGAAACACCCGTCGCCGAGCCATAGAAATGGTGAAAGTCATCTGGACCAACCATGGGACCGAGGAAGCAACGTGGGAGCTCAAAGACACAATGAGGGAACGCTACCCCGAACTTTTCACACCAGGTAACTAAGAAAAAGTCACTCGGCAAGGACCAAGCTTCGGGGACGAAGCTTCCCGTTAAGGGGGGGGGGGGGGAGAGTGTAACACCCCTTGTTACGGCCCCTAAAACCAATTAATTAATTAACCCATAGCCCAAGAGAAAGAATAAATTATAATAATTAATTAGGGAAAAAGGCCCACCATAGTCCATGGGCCCTCATCCCTAAACCCAACCCCTAGTCCTAAAAGAATTAGACCCTAAATAAGACCCTTAGATATATAAATAGGGAACCTAGAAGGCACCTAGAAATCCCACAAGAATAACGCCCCACCACCCCAAAAGAGCTCCAAGAATCCCCTTAGAAGAAATCAAGAAAGCAAGAAAGCTTAAAGAAAGACCCTTCATAGCCAAGGAATTAATTAAGGCTAAGAGGTAACCCATGTCTCAACAAAACCTATTTTCATAGCTATGATTTCCCCCGTAGGATTTCCCCATATTATTGTGTATTGATGATTTGTGATGTTATTATTGATGATTGATGGGATATTTCCATGGGTGATCTTGATATCGGGAGATTCTTGATAATTATGGTGTTCTTAACGATTATGTGGAGTTCTTGATGATTATTTGTACCGAATCTTGTAATTAGAAGACGAACCGTATTCTTGTTGATGTAAAAGTAATTAGAACCCTAGGTTGATGTTCTTGTTGGCGTTCTTGATGCTTGTGTGATGTTCTCGATGCCTATGTGATATTCTTACCGAATCTTGTAATTAGAAGACGAATCGTATTCTTGTTGGTATAAAAGTGATTAGAACCCTAGGTTGAATCGTATGATATTATTCTTGGTACATCGGGTGGGGAAATCGCATGTTTGGGTGACAATTATGTTTAGAAAAGCATGATAGGTTATGTGCCGTACGTTTCTCGTATTTGATCCGTTAATTCTCTACGTGTTGATCGTTAATTGCGTTGTAAAGTGTCTAAGCATGGTTTCGGGTTCCACAATGGTTCCCGGGGCGTTTTGTGTATAAAGAGTCAGTGGGGGTAGGGGACCCGCCACCTACCCGCGGCCAGAAGGGGCGTCTCCGGCAGCGGGCAGCTGCCCGCCGGCGACCCGCTGCCCAGAACAGTGTTTACCGGCGGGCAGCCGGCGGGTGGCCCCCACCCACCGGCTACCCGCTGGAATTCTCCCCCATTCGGGACCCCGGCTTCCCCGTTTGATGTTTCCCCGATCCCCGTGGTGTCCCAACGGACTCCGTTCATCGTGTCGTGTCTAGTTTGATGTTTCGGGTACCGTTCGTAGGTTTATGAGTCTTATATATTGCATGCTAGTTGAATTGGTATCCCGTTGACCTAGGTGGAAGAAGTATGAACCCCTTAAGACCATTCTTAGTATGTGAAGGATCACGCATAGATTTTGTTATCTGTTTTCTCTCCCTTCCCAATGTGTTAATGTGGGTTGCATGTGCTTGCTATATGTTATGTGTGCATGATACCCCAATTCGGTTGCAATCGGATTGGTTATTCCTGAGCTGCGGTTCAGAAGCTGGCTGCGGTCAGATTTACACTCCCGGGCTGCGGACCACCGTTTGATTGCGATCAAACGTTTCTACATGAGCTGCCGTTCATACTTTCCTGGCTGCGGTCAGATGACATACTCTTGGGCTGCGGTCCACTGTTTGGTTGCGATCAAACTATGATGAGCTGCGGTTCATCGGTCGGTTGCGATCGACCCCTCCGTGTTGCGATACGGGGCAGGGTGCTGCGGGGCCGTGTCAGAGCTATATGCGCTGACCCTCATGTATGGGCATGCGATTGGTCCTGTGGCGCCAACAAAGTGTGCTATGTGATGAGATATGGATGAGTTGGGATTATGAGTATCTTGGGGGATGTGACTATGGGACTTATGCTGGGGATTGTTTGTGTTGGGTTATGATTATTAATTGTGCTCAGCCTTATCTGTCTTGCCTGTTGTGGATTGTATACGCTTGTTATAACTGTTGCTTGTGTCTAGCCTTATCTGTCGAGTCATTCCCGGGTTTAAAAGCTAGAGTTCGTAGGATAGATCTTCATGCTCAAAATGGTTTTCGTATATCTATATATATCTATATGTATTGTATTTCAACGCGTTGGAGTGGGTTACCAGCAACTCTCGCTGAACAGATATATTTGGCTTTCAGGCACAGAAGAATAAGTCACTGGAGCGCGCTAGAAATTGGAGCGTAGAAGTAGATAGTTTCCCTTTCGGCCTGCGTGTCATGCTTATGCATTTACGTTATCAAGGATATTAGTTAGTTAGCCTGTGCATCTGAGTTCTCTGGCTCAGGTGTGGCATAGCACCCCGTACTCTTGTATTACGTTTTGGGATTTAATGAGATTCCGCCTTTATTTTATAAGTTTTAAATATCTTGAAATTTCGGGGTGTTACACACCCGCCGGCGGCGACCCTCTATTCCAGCGGGTGCCTGGCGGGCAGTCGCCTGACCGCTGGAATAGTACTTCCGGGCAGCGGGCAGGTGGCGGGCACCCCTGCCCCCACCTATCCCCCACTGACTCACATGCAACTTTTCGGTCCTTGGATCTCTCGTAGAACCCGAAACCATGTCTAGACACATTCGAACACATAACGACAACACCACGGATTCAATTAACGGAATTAAACCAAGAATCATACGAATTAAACCTCTATATGTTGGGGTTTTTTTAGCAATTAAAACACTAACAAACTCCCCCTTTGGCTATTATTTGGCAAAACAACTCGACTAAAACAAAAAGACAACCTAGATAGGACAAAGATAACAAATGCATAAAAGTCAAGGATTTGAATTACAATTCATAACAAAAAGACAAAGACAACATACAAATTATGCTGAACTAAAAACAACATTCTTCATACGGATGGTGCCATCACAATCAGACGCCCAGACAGGGCCAGATGGTACAAAGTCCTACAAAAACACTCCCCCTGAGTTCCACACTCCCCCTTTTTGGCAAAAAATAGACAAAGAGCAGTCAAGCATTGGAGGGGTCCTCACTATCGGACTTAGCAGCATCAGCAGCAGCAGGTTTAGTGAAGCTCAAGCGGAGAAGAGTGGTAGCCAATTCAGTACGGGCCGCATTCAGCTGCTTCGCAATAATTCCATGAACAGTCTCAAGTTCAGATACCCGGCCCTTCAGGCGAAGAGAGAGTTGAACATCCTTCGCATGTGGAGAATCAGCATCCACATTGTCAGCTTCAGAAGAGGGAGAAGGATTCACCGGTGTAACATCTCGAATATGCTTTCCAGTCAGAAGGCGATGATCAACAGTATACAAAAGAGTCGAACTGATAACCTCACTAGGCATTGGCACAAGGCCCTGCGTTGTCAGAACCCCAAATATAAGGTTAGGAAAAGGTAACCTTACCTTCTGTTCTCGCGGATGAATCAACGTGAGGATATGATAAAAGATCCATGACCCTAGGTCAATTGACATTTTAGTTCCAATCCGAAATAGGAGAGCTGCCAATTGTTTCCCAACCGTATGAAAGTGAGCAGATGGTAGCCAGTTGTGAAGAGCAATACGGTGCAGAATGACATATTTGGAGGTGAGTTTCGAGCTAGACAGAGTATCAATGTCACCCGTAGGCCATTCAGAGGTTTGTACACCTGTTAGGGTCCTTGCCACTAAATCCCAGTCCGTGATTTCTTCTTCATCAACACCCTTCAAACCATAATATTCATTTATCACATCTGGACCAAAGACATACCATTTTCCCTGGATGAAGATTTGCATGCACCACGTCCCTGTCAAATTATCAATCTTCACATTAAGATTACAATAGAACTCGTAAGTCAGTAGCTTCGAATAAGGACAGATGGAGGTGACAGTCTTCAAGAGGCCCACATCACTCAGCAAGGGCAAGATGCCGCAAACAGAGTTCAACTGGTTTTCATCAACGGACTTCTGAACAATAAGATCTCTCCGGATCATGGTGGACAATTTTCCTTGAGCAGTAGAAGAGACAAACTGAGGTTTATAGATGGTGGTGTCAGGATTCTCCGTAGCAGGTTGAACCTCAAGTGTGATACTTCGTCCTCTTGAGCGAGTAGTTGGTTTTCCCTTCCGGGTAGAGGTAGTAGGAACCACTGCAGGTTCCCTGTTCTTGACAGAGGACCGTAGGGTTTTGAATACTTGTTGCACAGGAGGATCAGCTTCAGTTTTACTGATTCAGCAGACTTTCTTCTCTTCTCAGGTTGAGCCACATCAAGATTGTCATCACCCGATTCAACAACAACTTTTACAGGGACACTCTTGCGTTTAGATTTTCTAGTTTCCTTGGATAGGGAAGGCTCAGAAGGACTTGGTGATACTGAGTGACTTGTGTCTGATACTGGGGCAGATGAGGTTCCCAAAAGATTTGTGATCTCTCAAATCTTGAAGGTGGTCGAATCCGGATGCGCTGTAGCTTCAACAGTAGGGGGTCTAGACACGGGGGCTTGGGACCCATACACTTCAGCAAGAATCTTCTCATCTTCACTAGAGGACTTAGTAGGATGAATAACTTGATACGGTTCTGGAATGGAGGCAGAGGGTAATCCTGCAAAATGCCGGACGTGTTCCAAGCTCTCGGCCAAAGATGAAGATGTATAGAAAGGCACCCCATCTAATTGATCACATGCATGAGGGCTTGAAATACTGGCAGCCTCAATCTCAGTGGGCAAATTGGAGGGATTATCAGATTGATAGATCTCAATAGGGGACTCAGCAATTTCAGAAGAAGGCAAAGCAGATTTCACAGTATCAGCAGAATACACAACAAAACTTAGATTGTTGCCCAACTCAGAGGTTTTATTTTTCTCATCAGACACATCATCAACAACATCTTTTGCAGGTTCAGACTTTTCAGAGAGGATACACGGAGGATCAACAGTTACAGAAGTTTTCTCAGAAATTAACGCATTTGCACTTTCAGATTGAACAATAGGCATAGTAGACTTCATAGTATCAGAAATTAAATCATCAGGCTTATCAGGGGAGATTTCAATAGGAGATTCAGAAGTATTGGACCTGTTACGGAGAATCTCAAGCATATGTTTGGTTTCGTCCTCGGCAGCTTGTAGGTAGAGGGGTTGAGCTGCTGCTCGACGCCGTGAGACTTCTTCTGATTCAAGAGCCCTTTGAGCAAAATATTGAAGGAATGCCCCTGCACGATTACCATCTTGAGGCTCTGGGATAGATGCAGGACTAACCTCATCACTCGCTTCTGAGGCTAGCATCAAAAGCTCACTGGTGTCATCCTCAGACCAATCGGCATAGAACTCTGGATAATCTGAAAGCACAGTGACCATGATTTCATCGCGTAGAACATAGTCAAGCTTCAATTTCTTCTTCATAGCTAACTGGAGCAGTGTTTTGACATGCTCCGTGGCTGTTTCCGGGGAATGGACATAACACCCCCTAAAAACAAGCTATTTAAAAGCCTTAAACATGCAGATAGCTGAGCTAAACAACAAACACATCGGAAGACTGAAAGATAACTAGATAAACATAATCCGAAACACGGGGTGTTATGCCACGTCCACCAAAAGGATGAACGCTACGGCAACATCTGCAATGTTTACAACTAAACCCATAGTCTCAAAGTGCTATATCTAAACTGGCGCACAGGCCACAAAACAAAGAGGGAGAAGCTATTCTAGCTAGCACTAGACCGCGCACTCGTCTAGACATCACCTGAAAGAGCACAATAAAACATGGGACGACGCCCGGTCAGCGAATAATGCTGGTAACCCACCAATACATGTGAAATATCATACATAGGTAAGATATACATTTGTAAAATCATTTGCGAAACGGAATACTTATATATAAGTCAAAAACTAAGAGTAATAGTCAACACAAGACTCAACACTCTCAACAAGGATACGGGAACACATCCCAAAACCACAAAGGATAACCACAACACAAAGGGTAAAGACAAGACCGATGGCAACACATGCCTAGGCAACACATGCCCTTGTGACTACACACGTCACAAGAAGACAACTCACAACAACGGCTACACAAGCCCTCATGACATCACCCATCACGAGTTGATATGCCTTCCTTATGCCCTGTTCCAACCTTATGGCTACCCCCAACCTTGTATCTTCTTCCAACCATTACCTCCAGGACCCCTGTACTTCTTAGTCCAACCTTTTCCCTCCTGGGACCGTCGTCCCCCACCAACAAACCACCAACAAGACCACCAATTTCATAGTACACGAGGGTACCGTACACACACACGGCGACACACGCCTTCCCAAGAAACACGTGAACCTTACACAAAGGTCACAACTCCATAATCACGTCATGGCCACCACGAGGACCACTGCAATACCTTGGTGACTAGTGTCCCATACCACTAATCGTGCAATCCAGGTAAAGCCACACACGCATCACACCTCAACAGGAATCAATCAACGGATCACAACGAAGATATGAAACCATACTCAATCAAGGAATGGATCACAGTCCAACAACAACAACGATGAATAACACAAGTTATCATCAACCAATAGGAAGGTACAAACAACACACACGCTAGCATTCAAACACCGAACTAGCATGCTTATCAAACGGGTAAACCAAACGTAGTTCCGTAGAACACACAAGACCCATCACGGTTCAATGTAACACAATGTTGAACACTTAGCACGATTCAAGACACCAAAACCTACATGGATTCCTACCATATAGTTCTAGACATACGAAACATCAAGAAGACGCTCAAATAGTTCCACAAAAGAACAACGGGAAGTCAAAAGACCAAATACCGAGTCAAAAGAATCACGGGGAATAAATCCCCCAACAACCACAATACGTACCCGCGGGTAGGCCCACGGGTAGGCCTCTACCCGCGGTTCTGCCCGTGGGTACAGGCTGCCTAACCTGTGTACCCCGCGGGTGGGCGGCGGGTTGGACGCCTACCCGCCGTTCCGCCCGCAGGTACATCCCTGTACCACAATAAAATACTTCGCGGATTTTCATCTCCAAACTCATATTCAAGTCCAAAACATGCCAATCTCACCAAATACAACAAAATGAGTTGAATCAAAGGAAATGCCAAGCAATGGCACAAATGAACCCTAAACACAAGCTCTAGATATGCATTTTCACAAGGGTAAGCAAAATAGATTTTGTAGAGCATGGGTTACCTCTTGTAGAATAAAGACTTCACTTTACACCTCAACAAGCTCCTCACTAGGCTCACCTTCCAAACCCACTTCAAGAACATACCAAAAGATCATAAAGATCCTATCTTTAAGAAAAGACACCTAAGATAAAACAAAAAACACAAGATGAACTTAGATCTTACCCTCCTAGATGCCCAAATATAAGAAAGGTTGATTCTTGGAAGCAACTCTTGAAGTTTTGGCAAGGCTCCAACTTGGCTTGGAAGAAAAGCTACTCTCACCTTTTTAGAGAGAGGGTGGAGCTAGATTTTTAGAAAAGTGTAAGGAGAGAATGAAGGTGGTCTTCTAGGTTAGGTTACAATACCAACAACAAGTGAAAGTTCAAGAATACCCTTACTAACATAAGGAAGTGTAAGGAACAAGGGAACTCCTTACAAAGCTCAATGTACAACTTTGACTTTGGGGTTGACTAGTCAATTACTAGTCCCCAACTATTAAATTTCAGGAATTTAAGGAATTAAATTACAAATTGAAATAGGATTAATTACTTAATTAATCCCTTAATTGAATTTGGATTTCGGGGTGTCACAATGGATCTTCCTTCCAAGCTTGATAATGATATTTCTTACAGCGTCTGCCATTTATGTGCGATTTGGGTATGCGAGAAGGTAAACCCTAGGTATAGGATTAGAGAGAAAATAATTAGAGAGCAGGGATATTTTGAACTCTTCTTCCTTCACACTTGACCCAAAACTCATATGTAATCCCAAGGGTGAATAACCCTATTTAATGCGGCTTGTCAGAATGCATGCAGAGCTGATGTGATTGACGCAACGGTATACCTCCTTTTTAGGAATGAAACGGAAGGGTTGAAGATTTGAATTTCGAAAAGGCGAATTAATTTATGGTAAGAGGGGTTAAAATATTATCTTAACAAAAACATAAGGGAGATTTAAAAGGAAGTCAAAGGTTGAATTTTGACCCGTAAATGTCACACCATATACTCTCCTTTTGTATATCTTACTGCCTTATTAATCAATCCTGCAGATTCCCAGAGCAGATCTGAGAATCTCAAACCGATTTGCATCCAGGGGCTTAGTCAGAATGTCAGCCAATTGCCTATCTGTTTGAATGTATTCCAACTCTATTTCCTTGGATTCTACCAAATCTCTGATGTAGTGATGCCTTATATCAATATGCTTCGTTCTGGAATGTTGCACTAGATTCTTTGAGATATTGATGGCACTGACATTATCACAGTAGAGAGTCATAATTCTTTGAGTAAGACCATAGTCTAGAAGCATCTGTTTCATCCACACCAACTGAGTACAACAGCCTCTAGCGACTATATATTCTGCCTCTACAGTACTTAAAGAAATCGAATTCTGTTTCTTGCTCAGCCATGATACCAAGTTCTTTCCCACGAAGAAGCATCCACCCGAAGTACTTTTTCTGTCATCAATATTTCCTGCCCAATCCGCATCACAGTATGCAACCAGACTAAGCTCACTGTCCTTGGAATACCATAGCAGCTATCAGGTGCGACTTTTTCGGATCAGATTGATATCTTGCACAAATTCCAACACTGAACATTATATCTGGTCGACTAGCGGTTAAGTAAAGCAGACTTCCTATCAGACTCCGATATACTGTGTTATCAACTGATGCACCAGTGTCGTCTTTGGATACTTTTGTGGAGGTAGAAATAGGTGTCCTGGATGGTTTACATGATTCCAGATCAAATTTCTTGACCAAATTCTTAGCATACTTTTCTTGTGAGATAAAGTACCCTTCAGGACTCTGTTTCACTTGCAGCCCTAGAAAGTATGTCAGTTGGCCAACCATGGACATTTCAAATTCTTTTTTCATGACCTTTACTAAATCATCAGTGTACTTTTGTAAAGTAGAACCAAAGACAATGTCATGCACATAAATCTGAGCAATGGTAACATGACTTCCAGTGGTTTTTACAAACAGGGTTTTGTCAACACTTCCTCGCTTATACCCATGGTGTAGCAGATACTGTGTTAGTCGTTCGTACCATGCCCTTGGAGCTTGTTTGAGACCATAGAGTGCTTTTCTGAGCTTGTAGACATGATATGGATGATCTGGATCTTCAAATCCTTTCGGTTGAGCCACATAAATATCTTCATGCAGGTATCCATTCAAAAACGCTGTCTTAACATTCATATGAAACAGTGTGAATCCCAGGATACACGCGACTGCCAACAAAATTCTGATCGACTCTAACCTTGCCACAGGAGCAAACGTTTCATCATAGTCAATCCCCTCTATCTGAGTGTATCCTTGAGCAACTAATCGAGCTTTGTTCCTTGCAATATTTCCAGCTTCATCAGTTTTATTTTTGAAGATCCACTTTGTTCCGATTATGTTGACACGATCAGGCCTTGGTACTAGATCTTAGACATGATTCCGGTCAAATTGGTGCAGCTCCTCTTGCATAGCCTTGATCCACAGATCATCCTGTAAAGTTTCTTTTACACTTTTTGGTTCTATTTTTGAGGTATAGCAGGCTGATCCGGATATTTCTATCAGATTGTTTCTCATCCGGCTTCTGGTATTCATCCCATCTGTTGGATCACCAATAATATTGTCTGAAGGATGATTTTTCTGAGTTCTGGTGGGCTTGTTCTTACCCACATTATCGGCAAGAGGTGTCTCCTGTTCAGAACTTTCTTGATCTTCATCTGATGAATCTTGTGTTTTGGATCTGGTGTCCTCAGCTGTGTTTAACTCACTAAAAGGGGGTTCTGTATTTGGTTCAGTTACTGATGCTTCTACAGATTCGTCAGAATAGTCATCTATAACAACATTTACTGATTCCATTACAGATTGAGTTCTTTTGTCGTAGACTCGATAGGCTCGACTGTTTGGAGAGTACCCCAGAGAGATGTTCTCATCACTCTTAGGTTTAAACTTCCCCCTTTGTTCCCTATCGATCAGCACGTAACACTTTGTTCCAAACACATGAAAATACTTCAAGTTCGGTTTCTTCCCCTTCCAGATCTCATATGGTGTTTTGGACGTACCTGATCTAGGGTAGACTCTATTTACAGTATGACATGCTGTGTGTACTGCTTCAGCCCAGAAACGTTGTGGCAGATGCGATGCATGTAGCATAACTCTAGCCATTTCCTGCAAGGTTCGATTCTTTCTTTCCACCACACCATTCTGTTGAGCTGTTCTGGGAGCTGAGA